AGACACTCGTATCTATACTTCAAATCTGCTGTTGCGTATAAGCCTTTGTGCAATTGTGATTTCAGTATTCTGCTATGTGCTTTTTATTTAAAAATTCATTTTAATTAGTGAAAATGTTGAATACTTTCTCAGACCCTTCATCAAAGTGATTTTTGACTTCTTTGCCAAACAGGCTCTAAGTGGACTCTGGCGCTTCCTTACATCAGTGCTGAAATGCAGAAGCCAGGAGTGGTGAATGCATTTCCAGAGCTGTTTTCCTTCTCTTTCATCCTAGACCCTAAAAGCAGAATGAGCAACGTTGCATTTTTATAACAGCGTATCGTTTTGTATACCCTCTTCTGTCAGAAGAATCACCTAGTGAGAGCAGTCATGTTTGTGACAAGCTGAACTGGCAAGGACCTTTCCTGTCTGCCCTCCCTGTAACCCCTCCATTTCACAGCCAGTGTTCTGCTGTTCTAGCCAGCTGTCGGGTATTTTCCTCTGGGAATAATGATGTAGTATGAACAAACCCATCATTTGGTCAGGAATTTTTAGGATAGATTACAAAACCAGTGTAATTTACAATAAGTAACAAAAATCCATTAAAATACATGAAAAAGGGAGAAGCAAATAAATACAGTTTTTTGTAAATATCCCCATAAATTACAAATGACAGACTTTTTAAACTTAAAAATTACTTTTCTTTTGTGATGGATCACACTTGGCAAAGTTATCATCACCACATTTCTCCCCTGTAAGAGCTGCCCTGTCTGCATAATTTGACTTCCTGCATAGAAGGCAACAACTTGTGCTTTTCCTTCATTTATTTATATAGTATTTTCTTTCAATATCCCTAATGCCGTAGAGAAAGAGACAGATCTTTATGTAACATGGCAACATTGTTTGTGCTTTTAATGTAAAACAAACCTGATGTTTGTTGACATCAATGGAAAGAATCATTTTAATCTCAGTGGGCCTTATTGCCCACAATATGTAGCATCTCTTTTGTAATGTTGGCTCCGAGTTAATACTTAAATCTGATTTAGCTAGCTCTACAGAGAATTTTTCATTTATAACATGTTGGTTTTCTTTGTTGTTTTAATGATTCTTTTTTATCAATTTTGCAGTTCTGAAAAGAAATATCTTAAAGCTAACTGGCTTTTCTTTTCCTGCCCTTTCTCCCTAACATTTTTCCACCTCCTTACTTTTTCATGTTTCCTTGATATAGGCAATTTACTGCATGCCTTATTTGCAAAATCATAGTTTGCAGTCAACGTACCAGAGATGTTTGTTTCTCCTGTACTCTTTGAGATAAAGTTTTCCTAGTCCATGTGGATGCAATAAACTTTCTTTTCCTTTAAAATGGAAAGAGACAATATAGCAGATCTCTCATCATGGATGTTAAGTCTCAGCTTTAAAATAAAGCATACATGTTTAAACTCTCTTCCTTGAATTTAAATTATTGCACTATGAAGGATATATTTCTTAGTTACAACCTGTACCCCAAAAAAGTAAGAATGTGCAGAAACAGAACTGCGAGCTTCTGTGTCTCTTGTCTAACTGATACTGTGTAACTTGGGAATAGTGGTTTAATTTTATTTACCTACATATATAACAGAGTTAATGCCCATTACTACTTTGTAGTTATGAATCTTAACTAGTTTAGATCTTACCTGTAAACAGACATTATATTGAGAACAATATATATATAAAAAACACTAATGAAGCCTAAGTGCCTTGAAGAAATAAATATTTCATTTGCCTTTGGTGAGTCAAAATGATCTCATTCTGTACTCTTTCTAATGGCATCTTTGATATTTCATACTAAAAACAATTATAGCCGTGATAATAAAGAATGAAAACTACCAAATTCTTGCTTTTTAACACCTGAGACTTATCAAACACAAAATTTTACATTGCAAGAAAAGAATCAGTGTAATACAATACCTAGTTCCTAGGTAGATAGAAGAGCAGACAGCAATGGACAAATTTTTCTTTTCTTGTGTGTATTTATTAGATACTGTCATGCTATGAGACAGCCTGGTCCTCTAATGATATATTTCTGTATTCTATTGTCAACTGCCATACTGTTTGCACCATTAAGTAAACGCCTTCTGAAGATGCCCTGGGGAGCTATTACAGAGCAGTATGAATAATACAAATTCCATATTTTGCTCTCCTGTCATACATTCTCTCTGGCACAAAGTCACACTTAATACATCTGACTACACAGTTTTCATAAGATGTTATGTTTGTTTGGTATTTTCTAAATCTTTCTGAACACTAAAACTGCTTATTCGTGGCCACTGATACTGAATTTTTGAATTAATTTGCTTCACTTTTGTTGAAAATAATTTAATTTCTGGTATCAGTTTCAGTGACTTTCAGATGAGTTTTAGGCAAATATTCCCTAAAAGCAACTCTGAAACACATGGGTTTTGGAATTTACTCTGAAATTGTTTCTAGGAACTGTTATTGAGCAAGCAGGGAACAGAAACGTGCAATGGCTCTGAATTTCAAATGTTAAATAATAAATGCAGAACTCGCAGTGACCAGTTTTCAACCAATCCAAAACGAAATATAATTACATAAAATCATTCATTAAAGCATTTTAAACGATGAACAGATGCATAGAATAAGTCTCCTGTTTGCAGACAATTCCAGAACAGAGAAAAGTCTTGGGTACAAGTTACAAACAGACTGCTGATTTGAGTTTTGTTTGTTTGGTTTTGTTGGGTTTTGTTTTTTTTTTTTAAATAAAATCAAACAAACAAAAAACAAACAAAAAACCCCACCAAAACACCAAACTACCTCATACTTATGAATAGCTACATAAAATATGACATTTTATATCACTAATCTAGTTTTGTATGGATTATATGTGTGAGTGATTATAAAGCTATGCGAGTTACTTGGTGAATGATGAATGAGCAATATAACAACTTAGGACTCAGTTTACAGAGTAAATAATTGAATAATTTTGAAAAATAAGTTAATTGAAGGAAACTGCAATATATCCCCTTGTATTTATGGAACAGAAGACAAATGTGCTGTTTTATTAAATTCTTGTGTTGTCACAGTCCTTGTGTCTCAAGTGAATTATGTTGGCTTAGTTGAGACTTAATGTGTAATATTCAGTGTGCCAAATATAAGGTGTTAGATCTCTCATTCTTAGATACTTTGCTTAAAGACCTGAGAATAGAAAAACATGGACAACATCAACGATTTTTGTCTACAGGATAGTTTTAAATTTCACATTTTCTGAATTAAATTTCCACAAGCTTTCGCTTCCTCAGGAGGTGGTTTGGTTATTCTGACCAAGTCCTATAACTTTTAGAAATTCGTCTCTGGATGCTAACTAATCCCAACATGCAGTCAGGGGTGTTGCGTGTTAGTAATATGTTTAGCTAATATTTTCTGTTAATACGAAGTAGGCCGATTTTATCAGATCAAATTAAACCACTGCATAATATCTAAGAAGGTATGCTTATAAATGGAGTAATAGGTAGTAATGTAGTTTTCCAATATCTTTCCAGTAAACTTCCTTCATCCTCTTGTTTAACCCATTTGGTGTTCCTGTACTAATTTAGAGAAATATATTTCTGTTCATCATTGTGAAACTGTATCATCCAGTTACTTGAAAGAACTTTTGTGGTTTAAAAAATGTTAAAATAATGAAAAATTTCTCTTTAAAAAAAGTACTGAAGTACATGATAGAATTATTTGTTTCCATACATTAATAATCCAGGAAATAAAGACATTAACTTTTGCTTTATTTGTTTGTATTGCATTTGTGAGAACTTGAAAACTGAGAAATGGGAACAATATTGATCATATGCCTGTTGCTTTCCTTTTCTTTAAATACATTGTGTTTTCTTAAGTGCTTGTACACACATCTTCTTAATTTAACCATACTGGTAACTTCATATGTATTTAATAGAAGGGAGCGTGCAGAAGTTATGATATTGCAAAGCTCTTATTCTTCCTTAAATGCCCATGTTGGTTATTTCTGTGGCTACTGGATATCTGGGTTTTTTATGGATCTTGATTTTTACCTGCGTCACTGTAGGACAAATAACTGAGAATCAAAGCGTTCTACTTAATCTTAGTAGCTGAAATTATTGAAGCTGAATTTTTCTAAGTCTCCAGAAAATCATACGCATATCAGGTTTTCATTGAATCTAATACAATTCTAGACAGAGTCCGTGAGGGAACTCTGCATAACCTTGTGTATCTTTCAATAGTAAAGAGTCTGATGTTCAACTAATTGTTCTAGCTGGAAACTTAAAGCATGTGTGCTTCTGAAACAGATTTGGAGAAAAGAAAAATATTACAACTTATTATGTTAATCAGTCCCTGAGAGATAGAATAATGTGGCAACCACTAAATCTGTTATTCTTACCATACCAAGTTTCAGGAAGAAATGGAATAATTCTTTGTGCATGGGCAAAGTTGTATTATTAATTGAAAGGTTTGCAGTAAAACTATTTATATGTTACTGAGTTTCAGAAAGTTGGATAGTTGGACTTGAAAAAAATAATAATTAAAAACTGGCACTGGGTGTAGCAGAGTTAGTGTAGGGGGTTACTAAGCCTGAAAACCATTCTTCCTAATAAGTGATAGCCACACCGTATAACTTTGAGGAATAGCAGGAAGAATATGCTCCTAATCATAACTTAAACTTACATTTAGGTCTTCATGGCATCGTAAGAAAAAGTTTTTCTATAAGGTTACTCTCTCTGTTTCTTTGTCCTTCCCCTTTTTTCCCTAATAAGTAGCATGAAGGTTTTAAATTAGAATTACAATGTTTAAGAATTTTGAAAATAATATCTGTAACATAAGCTTTTCTCTTTAGGAGTATGCACTATACTATGTAAGTTAAATTATGATTTTTTTTTCATATTTTCCATAATAGAGCCAAACAAGGAATTATACTTTGTATTCCCAAGAAATTTCTATATTTGTGAAGTACAGAATTATGTTTGTTCTCTGAATACGCGTTGTTGGCTTTTTTTAAATAGGCCTTGATGATTGCCTCCAACAATACATAAAAAATTTTGAAAAAGAAAAGATCAATGGTGAACAGCTGCTACACATCACTCACCAAGAGCTCGAGGAATTGGGAGTCACTCGCATTGGCCACCAAGAACTCATACTGGAAGCAGTTGATCTGCTATGTGCATTGGTAAGTCATTTCTTGCATCACTCATCTTAATAATCTGGGTTTATAAATTTCCAAACCAAAAGTAAAATAACGTAGACTAAACTCCACAGCTATATGCTTCTACAGACACAGTGACTTTGCTTCATTAAAGGACAGACATGTACACGTTTCTTTCAGCTGTAAAGAAATTATATATATCCATTTTATGATTATGTATGATGGTCTTTTATTGTTCTTCCTCTAACTTGCTTGGTCTTGCATTCAAATACTGTTGACTATCGCTACTGGCATCCATATGTTTCTGTAATTATATACCATATGCCCTCATATTTCACTGACATTTGCCACACTGTACTAAACCAAGTAGACCTGAGTGTTTTAACCATGCCAGCATTCAAAAGGATGGTACTAAGGAGCCAGAAGGTAATGCTAATTAGACTGGAAGATTGTTTAAAATGAGCTTCAAGACAAGATTGGAATGATGAAATTGATTTTATCTCAAGTACAGACGTGTGTCTATTTAAAGGTGGGTTGTTTTGGGGTTTGGTTTTTTGTTTTTTTTTTTTTAGGAACCTGCTCATATCCAAATTTGGAAGAAAACTTTTTTTTTCATGTAATGGGTTATTAATTCAGTTAACCTCTTAACAAAGTATTTGATATCAGAAAATTCTTTTTTTCCTCTGTTATTTAATTCCTACCAGCTGATAAAATGCAATGCACTAATTGAACTCTAAAGAAAAAATTACTTTGTGTAGGTGAACAGGAGAAAGGATATTGAAAATACAAAAAAGTAAAATTATGTAGGTAAATTACATGTGACATTCCCAGTATTTTACTACTTTGTGCAAAAGCAGAACTCCTGATAAACTAGGTTATACCATGGGATTTTGATAAGATAAATTGTCTCCAACAGTGAAAATAGCAGTAAAATAGAAAACAAGCAGGAAAAATGTACTTGATCTAAGAAAAAAGCAGTATGAAGTACCTTTTATTATACATGTGTTTCTTGCAAGTACATATAATTACAAAATACACTTAATGTAGCTTGAGATCTACTCTTACGAACTAGATAACACATGTGTCAAATCACAGATATGTTTTTGGCTTCAATGCAGCCATACCTGTAAACTGGTGGATACTGCATAACCCAAAAAACTTCTGTGTTTTGGAAACATTTAAAATCCAACTAAAGAGTTTTTCCTCTGAAACATTTTCCACATAAAAGGAAGCTAAATACCCCGTTATGTTATGTTGTGTTATGTTATGTTATGTTATGTTATGTTATGTTATGTTATGTTATGTTATGTTATGTTATGTTATCTAAAGAACAATGCGGTGTTGTGCCCTGACACTAGTCAGAAATAGCCAACCCAAGAAGTTTCCTCTGGAAACAGAACGCCCTTCAGTCAAGCGTGCCCACTGGGAGGACCCTTGCTGATTATTTTTTTTCAATATTATTATTATTTTTTCTTTTTTAAACAAAGAAACTGCCTCTTAAATGCTGGCCCTGCTGTTGGTCAGTAGCGCAACTTTTCTCTTACTGTGCTGTGTCATGACCTTATTTTTCTTTTAACCAGTATGGGGATTTTCCAGCTCCTGGTATCATTTATTTAGCCTCCTGCCTTTAAGCCCTTACCCTTTCTTTCTCCCTCTGACTCTAAAATGCTGGGTGTTTTTTTGTTTGTTTTTTTCTTGCTTCTAAATTTTTATCTTCCTGCCCATTCCGTGTGTTTTCTGCTGACTGAGTCTGCTGCCTGCGGCTCTGCTCTTGGGGGTTATTCTCTTGCTTCTGACATTTTTGCCTTGCTGCTGTGCACAACGCATTCTTCAATTCTTGCAGCTTCTTACTGAGCAAGGATCACAAGTAAAAGTTTTACAAGATTGACTATAATATCTATTTTAATCTGTAATAATTTAAGAGAAATTTAATCTATGTAACCAAAAAGCATCATTAAAAATGTCTCTTAATTCTTTTAAATAATGACAATAATTGAATGGTAGGAGATCTGATGCTGCCTTTATTAACAACTGAAATACACTTTTAAAATAACATAATTGTATTCTTATTCTGTACTAAATCTTGAAACATTATTAGATTATTGCACTAAAATCTGACTGCTTGTTGAGTGATCAGTGAAAATTGTGAACTGGAGTTCATGACTGTAATGGATTTTTAGACTAGCTAGTCTTAAAAAAAAAAAAAGAAAAAACAACTAGAGGAAATACTCTATTTAAAAAGTAATTAAAAAAAAGAAGGGGGTGGGGGTACCTGTGTTTTGCTTATGTCACTAAACAGGAACTAACATTTAAGAAATTATTTGAATCAGAATGTCTTAAGGAGCATGTAATTTTACCCCTGGTTTCCTGAGTTACTTTATAAGCAAACTTAATACAGTTTATGGGCAGTTAGAATACAACCCAGTCAGTAAGATGTCAATACATTAATGCATTGTATGCGTGTTTGTATACATGACATGGACAGGGTGCATAGAGTACAAAGTATATTTGTAGATTCATATATACATATACACATATACTTCATATAATATAATTTTTTTTCAAAGTTTGTTATGAAAAGAATTGGGAGAAACATCAATTCAAACACTCTGGTCTAAAATTTCACATGTTGGGAGTGGTAACAACATGAACAATAGTTTGTTCTCTCCCTTTGTCCCTCCGTTTGCCCCATTCAGCATGGTATGTGTTCCCAGTCCCATGCTGCAGAGCATCCACAATGCAATGCAAACTGTGTTTTCTTCCTATCTGGATCACAGATAGCTGCTTTCCTGTTTATATCAATATATGTCAGTACTACTTTGTACTCTGCATATCATCCACTCACTGGGCCATGTCAATGAGCATTGATTTATTTATTCCTCCCCCCACTCTGTACATGGATTTCTTAATTGATTTCTGTTTGGCAATTGACAGCGTCCAACTTACATGACCTATTTCTTCCAGGCAGTATTAACAGGATGTTACACTCCATCTTAGCTAGATGGGTTGTGTAACGATTTAAACAGAAGCATCTCCAATGTACTGTAGAAATCTCTCAGGTAAGCTTAGGCTCAGTGATGCATCAGGAATTCAGCTGCATGCCAGTCCTGAGTTTAGCTGCAGAACAGCTATGTTGCTTCAGGAAACCAAGAGAAATTTGACTGTCTTAGCTCAAGCTCTTGGAACGCACTGAAAATGCCTGTTGTGATGCTGTATTTTCCATATGTGCTCCCTAAGGGCCTGGCCATCAGCCCGCTGCCTTTTTGGGGGGGTGGGGAGTAGTTGTTTGGGGGTACACATCTAAGAGCAATGTCTCTGTCTGTCATAGTGATGCAAGCTATTACACAATATATACATTACTAAATGCTGACCCATAATTAGGGTTCAAAGTGCAAGAGAAAACAAAAGAACAAAGGAGGCACCCCCTGTGTTTTTTCTTCCCTGTCCTGAACCATATATTAACTGGACTCTCAAAAGCAAATTATTAAAGGCAGGGAAGGTTTACTATTTACGTATTAGCCCTCAATATGGTTTTATATCCACTTTCCACAAATAAACACAGAAAAAGCCCCACCCTAATATTATGTCTTGGTTAATTGATTCAAACCATCATATTAT